GGCCAAGACCACCGACACCTAGAATGCCAACGCGGCTTCCAGGTTGAACATTATGATTAGCAAGAGGAGCATATACTGTAATTCCGGCACAAAGTAAAGGAGCTGCATCGGCGGATGACATTGTTTCGGGTATATCGTAAAGGAAACGAGAATCCCAAACGACGTAGTCAGCAAATCCACCAGTTACAGCGTTCCTAAAATTAGTCTTCTTGAGGCAAATATTTTGTTTACCATCATTGCAAACATTGCAATTTTGGCAAGAACCTAATTGCCAACCTCCACCAACACGTTGGCCTACCTTGAGTTTTTCCACACTACTTCCGATTGCTACAATTTTACCAATAAATTCATGACCAGGAGCTTTTCCTGCAGGGCAGTAAAAGTCAGTATGGCAAACACTACAGCATTCTATATTCATCAAGACATCAAGAGGCTGTAATTGTGGAACATCAATTTGACTCTTGCGAAAAGTTTGCTTTGATGCATCATCAATAACATAAGCCTCGATTTGTTTGGGAATCATACTGAACTTTAGAAATAATAGAATTAGTTACGTTCACTTATTTAATTAATTATATATTTTCTTTGCTATTCAGTGTTAAAAATTGATCGACGTTTCTCGTTTTTTGCTAAGCCACGATTAGCCTTTTCTACTTCGCACTTACTGTATATGTTATATGAGAGTTATATAGTATGAGTATGTTTATCATCTGCATATGACATAGCCATAACCTTTGCACTCATGGAAATTGTGGATAAGTGATACAGTTATATAGTAAAAAGCATAAGTACTGTATACTTGACTACATGTACATAGTACATTATACACTAGTCAGGCAGAGACTTGCAAGAGAATAATTATGGAGTGGGAGTCACCACTGTCCGGTGTAACAAATATGGAGGCTATTATTATATGTCCTGTAGAGAATAATATTCTAAGAATTTGCTTGTAGACTACTGGGTAATACGTGCAATATTTGCATAACGCGAAGTATAACTAGTGTGGAATCTACTAGTATTGTATAGCAGGTAATTAATTAATTATTTATTACTAGTAATCCCGCGTTAGTTATACTTTGTGTACTATATATAGCTTATAGGAATGTTTACTTATACTTTATATCAGATATCAAAATAATTAAATTGAAGGACTGAGACGGACAGACCTATATACAGTAACCCATGTTATATTATACGTACCGTACTAGGAGGCTATCTATACTTTTAAAAATGCAACGGAGTACTTGCGCTCCATTTTTCAAAAGGGATCTTATTTTATGTATTCTGCCAAACTTATTAAATGATACGAACTTAGTAATAATACTATTTTGTTTATATCCTAGTAGAAAGATACAAAATTTTAGCTTACTTTTCTTCTATTTTTTCGATTCGTATAACTAAGAATGGAGGTCGTGATAAACTATATCCACTACACAAAATAGTAAAATATCACAATAAACTAAGAATTTATAGTATTTTCATACGTTCGCCTTTCCCTGACTGCCGTTCTTTAAACCTTAAAGTAAAGATAAAATTGCACCGTACTGGAAAATAAAGATCAGGAAGAATATTTTCAGTTGTTCAAATTTTGCAATCTAGTCATGAAGCAAGATCCAAAGTAATCAATGTGGCTTATAGACAAAATCAAATAAGTTATTAAGTTCTTTTCTATGTAAGATTAACGATGATTGCGCTACTTTGAGAGTGCTGATAATATCAAGCAGAAATCAAATTTCTTTGCCTCATGAAATTTAAAAATTGTTTATTTATCATTTCTACTTTTAGATAACTTACATGTTATTACAAAACTGAATTATCTATTGATACTAGTTAAATTATAGCAATAAAATAAAATTACCGCAAGATTGATTATATGCGGACCCTGCTAAGTATAATAGATATACTATTGTCCGAAGAATAAGAAATTGACTATAGATATGATGATCTTATTTCCAGACATGTTACGAGACAGCAAGTGTATTATTAACAAGTTATCCAACAGTTGAACTTGACTATCGTTCTGATCAAGTATAAAAGTTAAAGATAAATAGTCACTCGCGCTAACATCTGAACCACAATTACGTCTTGCTTGTTGGAAAAGAACAGCCAAACACTGGACGCATCGAATAGATTCAATAACTTTGTTGCTCAAAATCTGTCTTATTTCATTTTCACCTTCATCGTAACATTGATATGACTTGAAATTAACAATTTTATAACCAGGCCTAACGAATGGCATAAAATCGGCACTCTTGCCTAAGCATTGCCCTGTAAGAGCTTTGATGATGGAGGATTTACCAGAATATTCTGGTCCAGTAAATATGATTTGTACAAAATCGTTCTTGTACGCGGCTAACGTTACCGCTTCATTATAAGCAGTAAAATATGGTTTATCCAATAAATCTAGATGAGAGTTAAAAATATGACAGTTAGAGGTATTATTAGCCCGTGCAAAATTGGTAGAGTGCTTTCTAGATTTAAGTTTTCCAGATGATATTGAATCAGGAATGAAGTAATGTTCTTAATATCATCCTTGAATTATTCTATTTTAAAGACGATGTCGAATAGAAAAGGAGTTAAACAAGCAAGTCATCAAACAGTACGCTACTGTACTCTGCTACATCATAGGTTATGCTAAAGAAATATTAGCAGATATCTATCATGAGTTCTGCAGTGGACATGGTCCTATAAATCAGTTTAATTTATCCATTTTCGCTTACCAATATCATCGTCAGAATTTGTTGTCATACCCTCCATCTCTTAGAATTTCACTACACTTTGCAAACAGCGATGATAATTCTGAAATCATTGCAAATCTCAGTAGCATCCAAATCAAGTCGACGGCAAGATCAGGTGATATCGTGCTCGAATGGCGAAGGAATTTCACGTCCATTTGCAACCTCGAACATCGTTACCATGATGCAGCGATGAACTAGGTCAGATTGTCGGAGTCTAAAGCGAAGCTGGTATTGATTTCCGAGTTTTCAATAATTGCAGTTATTATTAGATAAAAATCGACATGTTATCAAGTTGAAGTCGCTGCCCTTCCATGTCATCGAGGAGTGGCGTTCTGCAGAAGTCAGAAGTATGATTGCCATAGTAAAGAGCAAGGGCGCCGCTGGCGATGCATTTCACTGGTGTAATAATCTTAGTACTGCTTGATCGCGATAGGGCACTCATCAGATTTCGCTAACCATGTCTTAGTACAGAAGCGGTAGTCTGCTTAGGCTTACGACGATGTCGTCTACCGGCCAGCCCACCTTGCAATAATCTTCTCCTGATAGTCCTAGCACTTAGCTGCTTTCCCCATTCGTCCTCTACTTTCCTCTTGAGCTGACCACTTGTCAAGCACCGGTCGTTCTCCGCCATTTTGATCAAGGCGCGGTCTTCCTTGGACGTAGTCAGCTTTTTGCAGCCGTTTCTTGGTCTATCATACAGGCTGCCAGTTTCATCGAATCTGCGTAGTGTCCTACAAACGGTGCTTTTATTACAACCGACCCGCACACCAATCTCTTCCATGGTGAGTCCTTCGTTGCGCAGTATAACCATTTCATAGCGCAACATATCCTTGGTGATTTCACCTCGGCCACCATTATTGTTGCTAGTCTTTCTAAATTGACTGTCTTCTTTACCATTATGGAATCGACTACTTCTATATCGACCACGACTACTACTACTAGTCGGCTTACTCCTATGACTAAGGCGACTGCTCTGACGATTATGATTACTCGCCATTTTAGCGATGCTACAGTAATAGTAAAGAAGAATGAACCTGCAATAGGAAAGGTAGATAGTCTGATACTATACAGCCTGAAATATCAACATTCAGCAGATCGATCAGTACAGCAATAGTAAAGGTCTTGAAGTACAATATTATGCTTTGGCAGTCTTTCAGGCTTGACTTGGTTCAGTTATAAATATCAAAAAGGCAAAAGAAAAAGCTTGAGAAAAACTTGCAGAAGGAAATCAAACCATGTTTCAGCTCTCTGAGTTCTACAGTATCAACATTCAGTAGATCGATCAGTACAGCAATAGTAAAGGTCTTGAAGTACAATATTATGCTTTGGCAGTCTTTCAGGCTTGACTTGGTTCAGTTATAATGATCAAAAAGGCTTGAGAAAAACTTGCTGAAGCAAATCAAACCATGTTTCAGCTCTCTGAGTTCTATAGTATCAAAATTCAGTAGATCGATCAGTACAGCAATAGCAAAGGTCTTGAAGTACAATACTATACTTTGGCAGTCTTTCAGGCTTGACTTGGTTCAGTTATAATGATCAAAAAGGCTTGAGAAAAACTTGCTGAAGCAAATCCAGCCATCTTGCAGCCCTCGAAGTTCTACAGTACAGTCTGAGGTGCTGTACAATGTAAACACTGTATAGATGTACTGTACTGCAGAGGCACCCAAGCAGAAAGAGGAGGTGTGCAAATAAGATGGCATGACCGACGAGTGCATTGTACCGCGATATCAAGACTTGATACGCTATGTGTTTTACACATTTTGTGAAAGGTTGACTATAGACTAGCATGACCGAAAACACGAGTGCTGTTGCGGTCTGATGTTAGACGAGGTTGGTGGGGATGATCATCAGCTCAAAGCATCGCCATATTTTTCTGACCTATGATCGTGGAATAATTCGTTGAGCGTGTAAGAATGAACTCTATAATACAGATCGTATAGTGCGATAGACTCAAGTTCTTGAAATCAGCCTGTTGAAGAACATGGGGCATGCACAAATGGCTTCCATGGCAGCGATCAACATGGCTAAAGTGGGTAGAGTTTTGTCCGACGGTCGCCATAGAGTCATGCTCATCTTGGACCAGGGATGGTCTCATCCAGTGCGCCTGCGTCAATGTCCTTACCGAACTTCAGCAAGTTGCTTCTCCAAGAGGAAGAAGGCGGTAGTAAAATCTTTCCTATTTCCCATCATCACTCGTTGATAGTTGCCAATTGACCTTGAATTTACTTGATTATTTGACTATAACATCATCAACTTGTCGTTATGCCACCTAAGAAAAAGGAAGCTGAAAAACCATCGCCTTTACTAGGAAGATTTGGTACTTCACTCAAGTGTGGCATCGTTGGGTTGCCTAATGTTGGGTGAGTAGAGCCATGACGACGACAAGGATAGATTTTTAAGACCAATTTTGCAGGATAGATGACGAAGATCAATCTTGCCGGTCAAGACGACTGCAGAAGAAGTGAGATCGTCTTCTATTATCAATACAACCTATTCTTATGAGCCAACCAAATCGACTAGACTTTACCTAACGTACTGTAGATTACTTGCTAAATCATAACTCATGGCGTCGTCAAAGTGACACAAGAATATGGCATCGACACCTTCACTAACTCTCGTCGCAGTCAACAGTGTTGCATAGTGCATGCATGTATGTATAGTCTAATCAATTCCAATACATATTGTTGCAAGGACTGTAACTAAAACTGCCTTGATCATCGTATCCTATAGATTATGTAGGTATGCTAGATTGGGCAATATCATAACATCATAGCATTTGAATACGTAATAACTGCCTCCGAAGAATGATGCTCTTTATTCCACATTCATTTTCATCGACACCATGATGTGATCTAGGCATTGTCATCACTTAACTCATCAATCTTGCAAGCGATCATATCATAGCCAGTGTTTCCTTCTACTGTATTGTAGTTGCAACAAGTTACTAGAATCCATTTTGAATTAGTTGATATCGTCGTTATATCTTGGTTGGCCAACGTATAAGATAGTATATATTGGCTAAAAGGGAAGTAAAGGATTAGCACACATCTCCTCACTAGACGGTATATCCAGTGTTTGATAAATGAATCAATCGTCATTGAGTTACGAAATGATTGTATCTTTTTAGGAAATCCACCTTCTTCAATGTATTAACAAAAAGCTCTGCAGCTGCTGAAAACTTTCCCTTCTGTACCATCGGTAATGAACGATTGGATAAATGACTGTTACCGTAATAGAATCTGATTTAAAATAGCCATTCCTCGCTAGCCTTGTAAAATGAAATGCTATCATTACTAAACTATTGTTACCTACTTAACTTTTATAGATCCTAATGAAAATAAGTATCCAATGAAAATTGCAAATTGCAATTGACAGTTGTTTTACAAACATCAATTGATCAACTTAACTTCCTATGTATTAAGCTCTGTACTAACATACATGCATCAATTTTTTCCTACCTTATACGTCGAGTACCTGTACCTGATGAACGATATGATTTTCTTGTGGATTCTTTCAAACCAGCAAGGTACCAATATTGATCTTTAGCAAGAAATGTGATAGTAATTTGCTTTTACTCGATACAATGTCATCAGTTGATGTAGTACATTATTCCACTATCATGTAGTAAGGTACCAGCGTATTTACATGTTACTGACATTGCTGGCTTAGTAGAAGGTGCTCATGAAGGCAAGGTAAGTTCTCAATATATTGGCTGCTCTAAATATCGAACGGATTAGATCTATTCTTGTATTCTCAACTTCATGGCCATCTCATCTCTACTTTAACTACCTCAAAGGGTCTCGGGAACGCTTTTTTATCACATATTAAAGCCTGTGATGCGATATTTCATGTCGTTCGTAAGTAACTAACATTAAACTGATATACTTCATGTTAGGGTACAAAATTCAGTGTCACACACACACAAAGTAACTCGACGAACACGCCAATGAAATCATACTATCTAGTTTCGTTTATACAATGTCTTTGGCAGATTTCCATTGATATAAAAGCAAAATGACTTTCTGCATCATACGTTTCAGGTGCATTTGATGATGACGATGTAACACATGTAGAAGGTGTAGTTAACCCTGTGCGCGACCTTGAGGTTATCCATGAAGAATTGCGATTAAAGGTAATGGGCGATGCTGTACGATCTTCTTAACATAAAACAGTTTGATGCTCATCAGATAATTTCATAATCTTTGTCCTATACTATTAAAGGACCAAGAATACCTTTACAGTAAAACGGTAAGCTTATCAAAGTATTATACAAGATACATTGAGCGTTCATTTTAATAACTCCATTAATCTCAATTTACCCTACTGATTAAAACTAATTATTGAACCTATAGAGTGCATTGGAAAAAACTGTTGTAAGGGGAAATGATAAGAAAGGAAGACCAGAATATGTAAGATTTGGGATAATTGTATTTTCATAATACTCTTGATAAAAAATGCCACCTTTATTGACAATATTTTTTTAGTGTTGCTTCTAACTATCTATTTTTGACTGCCTCAATAGGATGCTTTAATGAAAATACAAGATGTTGTAGTAGATCAAAAGAAAGAGGTTCGATTCTGTGAATGGGGCACAAATGAGGTAGGCTTCCATTCTAAGGGCATCTACGATATATCACTTGATAGCAGCCCTCGAAATAATATTGTTTATTGTGCTTGCAATTATATCATTACTGCCTTTTAGGCAGTGTAGTAGCATAAGAATGGTAGAAACAAGTAGTTAAATTTTGCTGTCTTACATAAATACTTTTCAATAAATAAATCAAAACATAAATTATTGATCTACTTTTTACTTGTACACGTATATTCACAGATTGAAGTCCTTAATAGACACTTGTTGCTAACTGCAAAGCCAGTTATTTATTTGGTCAATCTCTCTGAAAGAGATTACTTGAGGAAAAAAAATAAATGGTATGGCTTATTAATACTTCCATAGTAGCATATCAAATCGTATTATACAGTATTATACGTGGTATACCAGCTTCTTTTAGTCCTATTTTTATAACATATTGCTTAGGCTCTGTACATTGTTAGCATAAGTTATTTAAATCCTCGCGCGTTAACAATAGGTTGTTGAAAATTAAAGAATGGATCGTTTCGCGGGAGCCCAATCCGACTATAATTCCGTTTAGCGGTGCCTTTGAAAGCAAGGTACGTATTTAAAAATTATATACATATTTTACTTGCTGATACGTCAATATTACAATTATCAAATCACTGCGGAAGTTTTTTTATTTTCATTGCTAAATACTTCCAGGACATAATTACATAACATTTATGCTCTTCCTATTAAAAATATTTTTAAAATTAAGCCATACTAATAACAATGTACGCTGCTTAAAATTAAATGACAATAGCTGGTAGATTTGGGAGCTACTGAAGCGGAAGAATTTTTGAAAGCAAGTAATGCCCAAAGGTAACTGTCCTTGAGGCACGCTTTTGCTTTTGGCATGAATATAACATAATGGACGCATAATAAAGTAAATTTATAAAGTCCCATGAAAATTGTCTTCTAGTGCATTATCCAAGATTGTTACGACTGGATTCCGTGCGCTAAATCTTGAATATTTTTTTACTGCTGGCAAAGATGAAGTTAGAGCGTGGACTATCATGGTTAGTGTCAATAAATTCATGATACAGTGACTACTGCCGCACCGTGTCTGTTGAATGAGGCAGGCAATTAAATTATTGCGAGTTGTTATGCTGTACTATCATATAAAAGCTAACCTCAGAGTACTTGCATATGTTACTATTTCGGTCGTAAACTAATTTTAGTGCTTTTTTGATACTAGAAATTGTTCATTTAACTTGTTTTAAACTGATTTATGATGCAGTATAACTATTTTATTGTAATTTAGAAAGGTACAAAAGCGCCACAAGCAGCTGGTAAGATCCATACCGATTTCGAGAAGGGATTCATAATGGCAGAGGTAAGCCAAAATTTTGTAAACTTTATTAGAAACTTTCCTTCCTTTATGGCGATTTGATTGATATGCTAATGTAACCTTCAACTTGGTATTAGGTAATGAAGTTCGACGACTACAAAGAACTGGAATCCGAAGCTAATGTTAAGGTATAGTGTTCAATCTGTTAAGCTGGTTGTCAGTTCGTGCATCATTAAATATTATATTCTCAAATAAGAGGGATCGTATTGATTAATAATCAGCTCCTTTGCCAGCTTTTGAAATATACCCTCCATTTAATTATTATAAAAAGTTTTGCAATTTTTTAGAACCATAGAGTATCATATAATGCAAGTTCCTAAATATTTTTTAGGCGGCTGGAAAGTATAGACAGCAAGGCAGAAACTATACCGTGGAAGATGGGGATATCATCTTCTTTAAATTCAATGCAGGCGCCGGTTTAACGTCGAAAAAGAAATGAAAGACCCAAACGCCAATTGCTGGTAGTTAGTCGATTTATTCTACAGAGCTGCAATTTTATTGATTTCTTAATATCGAACAATTTGGTACGAGACCAACAGGTCGAAAAAAGCGTAATTGTTGAAAATTTTTCAGAATGTACTCATCATCCTAACAATCATTTACAGTATATTGTGCTATAAGAAATCGAAATAAAATTTGTTCACCTATGTTACCATATTAATATAAATCTATAGCCTATTCCTATTTGTAATTCGATTACATATAAAGACGACTATTATGCATTATGAACGTCTTCGTATGATATGAGAGATTAGTTTTATCTTGTGAAATTTGGAGTTGAAGAAAGTATTAAGAATTGTACCGCGAGTATATATCAAGATTTACAGTAGATATAATGCTTATGGGATTGTTTGTAGCTGTGAAGGGGGGGGGGGGGGGGTATTAGGCACAAGCAAAATAGTCATCTGATGAGGGAATGTGAGGCAAAGTAATATATGAGAGCGTAAGGTATGGTTGGTAAAATTCTTTTTTTCATCATTTAGTGAGGTTAGATTATGGTCCAAGTAGCTAAAATGGATAACTAGTATAAGTCCCTGCAGTTGTAAAAGAATACATCAACTTTTCGTTTAATCAGCTTATAATATGTCTTTATTCTTCTTTAATCTCACGCGCATTATTTTTGTGCCCATAAGAATAGGGTTGGCGATCTACGCGTACTTCAGAACAGGGTGATATAAAAATATAATAGTAGATTGTATACAATTTAATCTGCATCGATTTTAAGAGTGCTGATTTTAATGTTAAGTAAGAGAAAAATGATTATTCCAACATCTTCAGAATAAATTGTAATGCGAGTGAATAGGATTATGTTCAGGTGGTTACGCGTAACTGGTTCCAATTTCGGCATAACAGTAGCATATGCATAAATTCTTTATGACCTGGCCAGATTTCAGTCGATTGATATCTTTGGCTAGGATTAGCGGACAAATGATCAGGAGTGCAAGAGATTGGAATACACAGTACATCTCGTGCTAATCGAGCTAAAGTAGGAAATCGTTTTTCGTTGTTTTTCCACCACAAAAGAGGATCTGCAGCTACATCTCTGACGACGGTTGCCGTGCAAAATTGACTTACTTCGTCATCTTGGGAACTATTATCGTCTTCTATTTCTGTATTCAGTAATCTGCTAAGCACAGAAGCTGATTGCGTTGATTCTTTTGCTTCATATCTGTATAAATCAGTCAAGAGTTGTCGTATAGCATTGCAATCTAGCGTTGATTCATTATTTGGAAATCTTGGATCGACTAACTTAGCTAATTTAACTACATCATATTCGACGACATTTTTACACTCGCTTAATCTGATAGCCATCATATTAGCAATATATCTAATTTGTTTAGGTATTGAATTTGTTCTCTCATTATTAGTTACTTTCTCACAATGTTGCAATAATAATTTAAACGCACTCGGTATTAAGCTCAAGTTGATGGTATGGGTTTCGCCTTCTACTGTTGCTAAATTGACAGCTTTCTCAAGAAAATTGCATACAGCAGTGAGTAATTCCCATTCATCCTGTGTTAAAGCGTAGTTAATCAAATCTAGCTCTTCTGTGTTACACATGCTATCAAAAATTGGACGTAACTTGATGGCTTGGTTAATCATATTAAATATATCTTGCCAATTGGAATCAAGATCGCAACACTGTGGTAATTGGGTACCTTGATCGTAACTAAATTCAACGACTAATTTTGTAAAACAGTTCTTCCTTGATGCGATATGACTAACGGATAGGATAAAAAAATGAATTTTTTGAATTTGATGTTGGATAATGTGGAATCCTTCTTTTACAGCGGGTTGTATTGCATGGATCAGGCATGGAATATGCCAATCATCATCACCCGATAATTGCTTAATGCTACATTCTTGAAATATTAAATTTTGCAGCAAATGCAATGAATTTCTCATATTTACTTCGGATTCACTGGTTATGGAAACAATTTTCCTTTTAATCCCCCACTGGCATATTTGACGATAAATAATATCGCATAAGACTTGATCGTAAGTGTTTGAGTAAAGAGCAGGAGAATGTGCAACATGAAGTAATAAACGTTTGAGTATCCATTGATCATTAATCCAGTTAGCTGAAATTGTAATTGAACCTTTTGGAACAGAGCGTGAAGAACAATCAATCGATAGAGCAATCTTGGATGTTACTGTACGTATCGATGTTTTGGCTATGCGGCATAAAATGCTAAAATAATCACTAATATAGTTCTGAATTGTGGTTCTATCTGGAGGTACATAGTAAGGTTGCAGTCTGTGTAACATTTCTGTAAATTTTCTATTTTCAACATCACTAAGAGGGATGATACCATGGATCATCCAAGCTCCGATCGATTCTACAATATCATTATTGAACGATTGCTTGGTATGGCTTACATCATATCTCTTGTTTTTGATTTTAATTTCAGTTTTAGTTGATTTTTCGATGGTAGGCAATGGAGTCGACTTGTCCTTAATAGGCGATAGATCAAACTCTTCTTTAATGGATAGCTGAGGTAAATTTCCTTCAGTAGGAGACTGAGTTAACATTTTCTTGATCGGAGATCGAGCTAAATTTTTCGTAATAGGAGATTCAGTTAAACTTTCCTGAACATTGGATTCGGCTTCATTTTGTCGTACTGGTATTTCAAAATCATTTTCTTCCCAAAGATGCTTTTTAACGTGCTTTAAAAGAGTACTTGTTCCAGAGGGATTTCTATACGATGCACTGCAACCAGGGACATGGCAAAAGGCATTGATAACCTTTCCATTGATATCTTCTACAGTGGTAAAATATTGCCATACTATACTTGTGCGACTTCGTTTTCTACTATTTATATGTGAAATATCAGCACTAACTGATAACATTTCATTATTCATCGTAATAATTCCTCAGTTCTTACTTTAATGCAGCAATGAAAAGTCAGAATAGAAGCATTTCAATTAAGTAAGGACTTTAAGTTGGATTACTAATTTCCAGCTTATTCTTGTTGTGATGCAAGTTAGTGCAGAATGATGTCAATAATCTCACTATCAATATTATCAGCTTGATTATACACATGAAAGCTGGTCCAAGTTCATTGATAGAATTTATATGCTAGTTAGAAAATTATTTGGACGTCATGTTATGAAAATACTTCAAAAAGAACTGAATTGTAAGCTATGTTTCCTTAAATGAAAACTTATCAGCAAAATTCATTGCATAGGCACAAAATGATTCTTGCTTTTTATCATCATTCGATTTGATGATTGTAACCGCAATAAACGTGCCTATACTAGATTTATATATTGGTTGAGCACGAAATAATTAACTGGAACCATGCTGGAACTAATACCTGCATTTTATTAGTGATTACTACCATCAAAGCCTCTAGTGATTAGTCTTACTGATTAATAAAATACTCTAAGAATTTGCACGATTGTAGTAGGGAGGATCAAGTAACTACTGTGCAATATGCATGTAAGTATTAATGCAAACTCTAAGCCTAAGAGACAATACTACCATATGTCGACTTTTAATAAAATCTTAAATCATGATCTATACCAATTAATAATTATTAATTAGCTGGTTAGCATAATCGGCCGCAAAGTTGCTGATTACTCTCTATGAAAGCATTCGGTTTGCTTCTAACCTGCTAACATATTTGCTGATTTACCTGGAACCAATTAGCGTAAATAGTAGCAAAATAGTAATGCACCGATAGTTACAGTATAATCATATAATTAACCGATCTTTTTAAGCTTCAATACTTGCGTTATGATTATGCCAGTTTGGACCATGACAGGTAGTTCTGACAGTTTAAGTAGTCTTTAAAACTTTAAATTTAATAGCGACTTCCAGAGCAAGAATACGGCACTTATAGATAGATGCCAGTTAGCTGTGAATTACAAGCATAGTTAATTATATGATTATGATCGGTGCCTTATTCTATCAGTGTACTTATAGAATACGCGTATAGATCATTGACGGCATCAATTTACGTATACAGTAAAAATTGCAGAATGTTCTTGCACAGACATTTTTAGCTTGATTGCAAGCTACATGCTTCAGTATAAAATGATGCGGTAGTGATATTTTATCACCGTACGGAAATGGACCTTATTTGGATTCAGCTCCGAATCTTCAATTTGCATGCTGGTAGGAATCTTAAATGTATAGACCACTTTGTTTATGGCCTATACATTTAGTCCACTTACTCATTCGTAGGTAATTTCGATACTTTATGCCCATCTACGGATAAGATCTTAATCAAATTTGATTTCAAACCCAATCAATTTACTTATTCATGGACAATCCCGATAATCTAAGTTCTCATTTTAGACAAGATCGCAATTAGATCTTTTAACCAGTCTTTTCTGGAAATGTACAATTCAAATAGCTCTAAATTACAGTAAGTGGTGAATAGTGTGGTTCAATATGATAAAATCCTGTTTACAGAACGAAATGAGGATGAGGAAGGGGAACATTAACATACAAATATTTTATGACTACTTGTCTCTAATATCAATTAACTTTAACAATAAATTTAATTCAATGATCTAATCATTCCAAATTCTACGGAATCCGTAGTACACACATCAGAGCAATAGGTATTTGTGAGAGTTGATACAAAAAATTCCGTATGTTATTTATATTGATGATACAGTACAGGTATACATCTGGATTATGAAAATGTGACAGATAATTTGAATGCGATGATTCGTAATTAGGAGAAGCAAAGAAGCTTAAAAACTACCTTCTATGTAATATCGATTGCAGCAAGTTAAAGGCAACATTAGCTGATGAGAAAGTGTACCATTGGAAATTACAAAGCAGCATAAGTAATTATTGATAGAGATATAAGTAGGGATATAATGTAGCATGACAGATACCGCTATTTCGAAGCAATCGCGAAAAAAATCTACAACTTAGCAATTTTAATCTATAAAATTTAATTAGATGCAATAGCTACGATT